CCCCGGGGAGGGGTGCGCCCCCCCCCCCCCCCCTTGTGACGCCACTGGTTAGACTTGACTTTGTAACTGTATTGAGTAAAAAGTGATGATAATAGTAACAATTAATTTCCCTTTCTCCATGTCCATTGTTGTTGTTTTTCTCTTTTAATGCATTCATATTCTGCCTCGTTATGTCCCACAGCTGTCCTCTCTTTAAAGTTCCCGGAGCCGACCACGGTCAAGTCCAGCTGCGGTTTCTTTGTGAGTGTAACCTAACAAATGTCACATGTGATGCATGTGCATGTCCGCGTTGGGGGTGATAAATGACCATGCCACCAATCCGGATCCCTGTTTTAAATGAGACTGGGAAGTCGATTGGTTGCTGAGGACGAAAGGAACTTTTCATGTGGCAAACGTTTCATCCACCAGCCCCATAGAGTGGCTAATGCTGGCCGTGTTCTCTGCAGTTTTCTGCCTGTTTAAGTAATTCAGTATTGTTGTTTATCTCTATGTGGTTATATAGATATATTCGTAGACAAGAAAACCTATAAGGTGCCAAACAAAACAAAGGCTATAAAAGTAAATTTTTATTTCTTTAGACATTAAAATCACATTGGAATAACTCCATATGGATGGCATGTTATTAAATTGTATAGTGCTTCCATATCCAACCCCATTAGATTACTGCTCAGCTAAATAATACTATACCATATACAGGGCTCAAGATTTCACGTCCTGAGCTACTAGCCAGGCCTTAAGAGTTACTCGCCACCAGTTGCCCCACCTAATCCCTACCCTTCCCCAGCCCCAACTCCGCCCCTAAACACACCAGCGCTGTAACGCACATTACAGAGCTCAGTACTGTAACACATATTACAGAGGTCAGTAGTGATAGTTTCTGTCTGTCCGTCCAATAGTACCTCTGCAGGCTTCCTCCCAGCCTATGGCTGCTGAGCTGGGCTGGTGCCTGAAGGAGCCGAAGACAGCCGAAACTGATTCTCCTCCCCCTCGGCCGCTGCAGCTACAGAGCGGCCCAGGAGGAGAGAACACAAAGCAAGCGAACGCCGCTCGGAAGCGGCGGTAGTGTTCGATCGCAGGTCCTGCCGGCGGCGCACCCCCTCGATGGCATTCCACTCGCCCCCACGCAATTTTCACTCGCAAATTGCGAGGGGGCGAGTGGAAATTTTGAGGCCTGCCATATATATAATTCACATAGTGATATAGAATAGAAGGAATAGATGACGTATTGTCAGACATCTCAGGTGATTCATTAAGCAGGCTGTCAGGCTGATATTAATGTGTTTCTCAGATCAGTTCTCCAATATGCGGAGGTGAATGTATGGCCTAGAAACCATCTCTCTCAGTCATACATCACTGCACACAGGCATGGGTATTCAGCAGGGATGCACCGATACTGGTATCTGTGCCGATACCGAGTATTTGGGCGAGTAAATGCTCCGGTGCCTCGACCGATACCGGAACTTCCGTTATCGGGCAGCCGGGCAGCGAGTCATTACACACTGCCCGGCTTTCTGATTGGCCAGGGAAGCCGGCTCCATCCTCCCTCGTCGCGTGGGAGCTGGCTTCCCGGCCAACAGGAATTCAGGTGCTGTGTAATTACTCACAGCCTGGCTTCCTGATTGGTCGAGAAGCTGGCCAATTAGGAAGCCAGGCGGCAAGTCATTACCCGCTCCGCTGGCTTCCTGATTGGCTGCTCCATGCTTCCTCGTCACTTGGTGATGAGAAAGCATGGAGACGGTTTCCCCACTAATCAGGAAGCCGGGTGTCAAGTCATTACACGCCACCTGGCTTCCTTAATGGGACTTCCGGTATTGGTATTCGGTATCGGCGAGTACCGGAAATGTTTTTTTATGGTACTCGATACCGAAAAACCGGTATTGGTGCATCCCTAGTATTCAGGAACATTGAGTTATACTCCCACCTTCAGTAGACTGGACACTGACAAGCAATTCTGAAAAGGACAGCACAGTATAACTCCATGCCAGTATGAAGCCATGTCTGGGGATCCTGGATCCCTCCTGACTTTTCCTTCAGTCCTCCAGTAGCTGGGACTCTTGCCTGGTGGGGCTCTGATTCTGTGTCGATGGTTCGGTGCATGGTGGCGGATAAATCTCCAGGATTCCACTCTTATCGATGGACTTGTGTCTTTTTTTTCAACCTATCTATGTAAGGATGAGCCTTCTTTCAGTAAACATGCAAAGTACCCTTTGGCTCAAATGTCAGTGATTGCTTTCCTTTATTCGGGAGATTTTCTGGCGGACATCAAGGGAGCTTACTTGCACATCCCTGTCTTTCCAGCTCACCAATGCTACCTGTGTTCTGCTGTGGGTATGCAGCATTTCCAATTTGTTACTCTTCCCCTTGGGATGTCCACTGTACCTGTGGTCTCTACCAAGGTGCTTGGTCCTGTTCTTGCTCTGCTGCTATCCCAGGGGATTCCTATTTTGGGATACTTGGCTGACCGTCTGCTGATGGAAAAATCTGCTCAAATGCTGTTAGCCAGTGGCCTTTGGATGGTGTAGACCCCACTGAGATTCATGGGGGTCCTAAATCTCCAGAAGCCAGTGCTGGGAGCAGACTTATTGCTTGGAGTATCTAGGCCTAGCCTTGGAATACAGCCCTGTACATACATCTGTCCAGCAAGATCAGGCTTGCCCTGTCATGTCTGGGGCTGGAATCAGGGAAATGCTTCCTCCCGATGGTCTAGAAGGTGCTCACGACAGATGCCAGCCTGTCAGGTTGATGAGGAGTCCTGGACACCCTCCCGGTTCAGGAGGTTTGGTCATCAGATGAAGCTCAACTTCTAAACAGTAGTCTGGAACTCATGGTGATTTTGCTATCTCTTCAAAGCTGGACCCCTTGGCTGCGAATTCATCCGACTAGGATTCAGTCTGACAATTCCACGGCTGTGGACTACATCAGTTATCAGGGTGGCACCAGAAGTTCCGCAGCTCAAAATGAAGCTGACCAAATTCTTATGTCCTGGTCCTGTCCGCCGTGCACATCCCCAGCATGAAAAATTGGCAGGCTGACTTGCTGAGTTACCAACCTCTGGATATAGGAGAATGGTCTTTTCACCCAGAGGTGTTTCAAGCCCTCTGTCGCAGATGGGGGACATCAGACATGTACCTCCTAGTGTCCGGGTTCAACAAAAAACTAGACCGGTTTGTAGCCAGGACCAGGGATCCTCAAGCTTCAATGGGGGGGCGGGGTGCTCTGGTGATTCTTTGGGATCGGTTCAGCCTGATCTATGCCTTCTCTCTCTGAAGCTCTTCCATAGCCTTCTCACAGGATCGAAATGGAGGGCATTTTCTGTGGGCTCTCCCTGAGGGACAGGGTCCCGTTGGATTTGGTTATACTGGGCTGTCCTTCTTAACTTTGCTTGCCAGTGTTCAGCCTCCTGAAGGTGGCAGTATAGGCCAATGTTCTGGAACTACCAAGCCTGTGTCCCATGATGTACTCCAAGTAAATGATTTTACAGGTAAGACAAAAATCCTATTTAGTTATGCTTTGAACCAAAAGCAAAGGATCAAAGACAGGACACTACAGGGGGATGTTCAGGCCCGGATTCCCCACAAGGCCACCGAGGCCCGGCAGAGGGGCGGCAGGGCATAGAGGGGCGGCAGCGGTGTCCTTGTGGGGAAGTTGCCCTCTCTACATTTAGCGCGGCTTGTACAAAGCAGGACTGACTGTAGAGTGAGGCCCCATTCACACTGAGCGATTTATCGCAGCGATATCGCTCCTATTTCCGCGCGATATCGCTCTATGTAGCTTCTCCAATCCATTTCAATGGAGCTGTTCACATCTCGTCGCTCAATATTGCTTGTAGCTCGTCGCTGGTAGCTTGTCGCTCCTACATGACCCTTTTTTCGAGCGATATTGCTCCTGATTGCATACAGCCCAATAGGAAAAAGTCGCGCGATAAGTCGCTCAATGTCGCTCAATGTCGCTCAATGTCGCGCAATATCGCTCAAAATCGCGCGATTTTCATGTCGCTCGGTGTGAATGGAGCCTGAGGCAGACGATTTCTCGTTTTACATGTGAACTCGGCGATGTCGCCGATTTCACATGTAAACAGTGTGCAGCCTCCTCCCCTCCCCCCTGCACTTACCTCTCTCCTCTGGTTCTGGGCTCCGGCGCCGAGTCTCTCACTGCAGTGATCAGAGCGGCCGGGTTATAAGTAACCCTGCCGCTCGGTGTAGACTGTATACAGTGAGAGGGGAGAGCTGTGCTGTGCTGTGCTGTGCTGCGCTCTTCCTCTCTTACCTGTCACAGTGCTGGGCTAGAACTCTTGTATTGGAGGTGACAGGGTCAGTAAAGAGAACCTGTCACCTCCAATTGCTATCACACAGGGGATTGTTTTCTCCTGTGTGATAGCAATAAAGTTAGGTGGAATTTTTTTTTTTTATTGATAAAAAAAAAAAGAATTTAATAAATAAAAATACCAGAGGTTATATAATGTACCAGCACATCTTGGAGATGACAGTGTCAATAAAGAGAACCAGTCACCTCCAATTGCTATCACACAGGGGATTGTTTCTCCTGTGTGATAGCAATAAAGTTAAGTGAAAAAAAATTGATAAAAATATTATAAAAAAATAAATACAAATTTTAAAAAATGATAGGAAATAATAATTAAAAAAATAAGTAAAAAAAACCCTGAAAATTGGGAACAGTCGGTGATATTACTATCTGACGGCTAGGAGCTTTTGAAGCCTGAAATTTACTAAAATCTGCTAAATGTTCTAATATGGGATAAGGTGCCTTGATTGCCCACCGGTCCAGCACACCGGATATTGACATACCAATCTGCAACTTTCTATGTGCACTCATTATACTGTCAGCGTGGGCGAGGTGAGAGGGTCTCCTTAAAGGAATCATATTGTCTAAAAAAAAAAACAGCCCAGAACAATGTTTTACAGCCCAGCTGTCATTCAGCGTGATTGGGAAGCGAGAGATTCCATACTGGGCGTATAATGTGAAATGTCACACATTCCCCCTGTGCTCCACTGCCTGCCGGGATGATACGGATATGTGATTGCAGCTGATGGTTGACTGACTGATTTTATATTTTTTTTTTTCTCAGATGGAGTTTTTGCCGAGGTGTGGTGAGCTCGCTCCGGTTGGACAAGTGGTGCACGATGAAGGCAAATTTCTTCTTCAGGCTACGCTCGAGGTGAGAATATATGAACATCATTGTTGGTCGGCGTATTTCTCTTATTAGTTTAATGTTACAAAATGGATGTTTTACTTGCATAGATTTGCAGATACATGTGGAAGACACACTGCCTCATGAAGTCCGCTCTGTCAAGTGTCATGCCTCACTCTGTTCTAACTGAGCTCCCACCTAGGGACATGTATAGCAATGAATAAATAGAGATCGGGTTTGCCTAAAAGTAGCCCATTCCTTACATAGTTACATAGTATTTGAGGTTGAATAAAGACACATGTCCATCAAGTCCAACCTATTAGGATCTCATTCTAGGAGCACCTGTACCCCTGTATATTACCTGTACCCCTGTATATTACCTGTACCCCTGTATATTACCTGTACCCCTGTATATTACCTGTACCCCTGTATATTACCCGTACCCCTGTATATTACCCGTACCCCTGTAT